TTTCCTGTTGGTTCTCCACAGTTCCTCGTCTCGGCTTCGNTTGAAATTTGTAATAAGATACACAATGCGGTTATAATAAAATATTGTGCAATTATTTTCATATAATTAAAATTAATGTGTATTTGTTTTTTAGAAAATACGAGGAAAGCGGCGCATCCACCGCTTCTTATGACGTCACGCCACTGTTGGACGGGATGGTTTTTTCCGGCAGGGAATTCCGAAAGGGAGAGAGTATTTTTTTTGTTTTTGCCGTCGGGTGATAGCAGCGAGAGCACGTATAGCTCTTAAGTGTACTTGTACGATTTGTTTTGTGAATAAATATTGTTACATTATTTTTTATTACATTATTATAGAACATTATTATAAATATTGTTACATTATTATAGAACACTATTTTTAAACTGTAAGACTAAATATCTGCATCCATAATTCCAGTATAATAAGTCCTGTTAATATATAGAATGTACCAGTATACAAAATAAAAAAATATTGTTACAGTTTAAAGGGTAGTCGTGGACCTTACGAAATCCTGTTTACCGCATTTTGTTAAGTGCAGTTGTGAGGCTCTGGACAGGTCCGAACCCTCACTAAAATTCGCGTTAAAATAAATGTTTTAGAGAAAAAATATATAGTACTTAGAAATAAATTTTTATTTTATGAAAACGCGACGCTAACTTTTAAACAATAGAAGAATGTAAGTCCATCGACCATTTCCGGTTGGAGATCGAATTAAACTTCGATTTTGATCTCTCCCGCGCCCCCAAAAGGTTTTGAATTGTCATCAGGTGACGAGGAGAGACTAATCGGAAAGGGGAATCTGAGAGAAAACGGATAAAACCCTGGAAATTCAAGGACGCGATGGCTTCTTCTCCCGAAAGTTCCAAGTGACAGATCTGTTGTTGTGTGTATGTATCACACCCATCTTCGTCTCCATCTCCCGACCTCGGATCGACATCTTTCCATCAATGGAAGTCAACCGCATCGTCCCAGAGCCGTTGAGACGTGATTGAATGGTTCATTCGCGAACAAGGGACACTCCTTCAGAATGGGACTATCTTGGAAAGGACAGGAAGACCCAGAGGCCGCAGCCGCCGCAGAACTTCCAAGATCACAGAAATCTTGTAAGCTTCTTTCGTGTTTAATAAACGGTTGTGTTGTTTGTAAACGAAGCATCTATCTCTGACTCAACTGCTTCCACATGTCGTTGATTGTTACCGCTCGGCAATCCAAACGGCAAGGGAGATGGTGACGATATATATCACATATTATCATTCGTCGTGTTTTTTTTAAATTTCTCCCCCCCTCGGTCCCACACTACAATTGTTTGTAATAAATGAAAGCCTGAAAGTTCATTAGTTTAAAGAACATCCACTTTGTTCACTAATCATTTAAATTCAAATAAAAAGAAATAAAAGTTTACAAATTGATTTATTTCCTCCTTTCACAAGGGGACCTTACGGTCTCAGAAATTCAGTTCGGGATGAGACTTTGCATGTTAGTAGTATACCTCAAGGATGTCCACCCAGAAGAATTGTAAAGTGTACTAGCCAGAAGATTCCGAGAAAAAGGGCTCTAAAGTTTTAAGCACAACTCATATACTGGTTGATTTTACATTATGGCAGCACAGCAAAATGACTGAGTCTGTAGCGAACTTGCTTGCTACACAGGTGATCTAGGTTTGATCCTACCTTTGGCTAACTTTTTTTTTAATTGTTTTAAAAATTATAACAACATTTAACTAAAGTTAATGAAATAAAGTTAATAAAATTATTTATGGTTTAATTGGTAATATTTTTAGGTCTTAACTAAAGTTAATGACCTAAAAATATTACCAATTAAATCATAAATAATTTTATTTTATTTATGAAATGACTGTTACAGCTAATTAAAATGTGAATTAACGATATAAAGATGATATTTTATTTTTAAAAAGTTGAATAATTTCAAATGAATTTTTAATGGAGGTAAATTAAAACCTTAATTACTATTGTCATTAAAAAGTTATTACAAATTTTAAGATATTATAAGCTGTGGAGAGGTTAAAAATATTTGTTGTAAATTTGAGGAACTGGTGTTGATTATTATTAATATTTATGATTTAATTGATAATAATATTTTTAGGCCATTAACTTTATTTAAAAGTTGTTATCATTTTTAAAACAATTATAAAAAAAAAAGTTAGCCAAAAGTAGGATCGAACCTAGATCACCCACGTGGCAAGCAAGTTTGCTACAGACTCAGCCAATTTCTCTGTGCTGCCATAGTGTAAAATCAACCAGTATATGAGCTGCACTTAAAACTTTAGAGCCCTTTTTCTCAGAATATTTTGGCTAGTGCACTTTACAATTCTTCTGGGTGGACACCCTTGAGGTATACTACTAACCTGCAAAGTCTCATCCTGAACTGAATTTCCGAGACTGTAAGGTCCCCTTGTCAGATCTGAGGCCTAGGCAATTGTAATTGTTTAGTTTGCATAAGCCTGTGTCTGAATGCCTACCATAGCATACAATGTGAAGGATTCTTATCAAAAAATGAATTAATTCATTTTACAAACCAATAATCCAATCTTTTTTATGATATATCAGGGACATTCCAATATGCTGATATATTAGTTTCAGTTACATCTCTAATTTTAATTTGTCCTAAAAAGCATCATTATCTTTACTCAATCACTGTATGCACACAAGTGCATCATCAGTTTTTGTTAATGCTAAACACTTGTTTCCTAAAAATCAAAAAACATTCTAAAAATGAAATGATGTAGGAAGTAAAAGTTATTTTAAATAACAAGTATATTTACTTAAAATTCAAAATACACTGTCAAAAACATAGTTTAATTTGTTCATAGTTATTGTGTTTTGAAAAATGAAAATTATATAATAGTTATAAAAGGCAGTTTGAAAATATAAGAGAGTTTTAATTTTATCAGAAATGGTTTTGTTCTATATTTTGTGTAGGGAACCTTTGTTTCTTTAATAATATGCTGAAATATTTGATTTGAAAGCAATTATGTATGAATAATCTGATAATAATTGCAGGAACTCCCAAAATATGTTTTTTATTATATAAAATAGAACTTCTAAAGTTTTGCTATGTGCTATTGCTTTTAAGAAATGATAAATTCTGAAATTTAGATGATGATGATTGCCCACAAATTTCAGATCCACGTAAATAGCCCAGACTGTACATCACTGAGTTTTCAACAATGTTCTTATTTTAACTTTGCATGTAAGCTGTTGACATACGCTTGCTTCTAAATATGTATTGCCTTGTATATGTATCATAAGCTGCCTTTCAGAAGTTAAAATACAAATAGGAAAACAGAATATCTCAAAACAGTGATTAAATATTTTTAAATTGAAATTCATAAAAAGTGTAATATTTTATTAAATATTTAGTTATTAAAAATATAAAAACAAACCATTCTATATAATAAAGCTGAAAAACTGAATTCTGTCACAATATGCCAAAAACAGCCACTAGGATGCCCCTAGCTATTATTTAAATTAACAATAAATTCAGTATGTTGTTATACATTTTGGCTGTGTTTTAGTAGGGTACACCATGAGAAATTCGGTATATTATTATTTTTATTTGTAATAGGAATTTATTATTTATACCACAGAATGACACCACTGCTGCTAGAATGCCCACTAGGGGGTCTCCCAAGCTACTAAAATAGAAGGATTAGAAGTACAAAATAATCTTAATCTTTGTTGTTATTTTTTGCCCAGGCAATGCTGGGCTCATCTGCTGGTTCTATATATTAAAAAAAGTCTTAAGAAAATAACTTAAAGAGAGATTTACTGTCTGAAGAACAAGGCACACTTCAAGATGTGATGGATGTTTTTCTAGCCTTAATGCAGACTTTATATAATGATTTATATTATTGAGTGGAGCTTTTCATAAGTTGAAAGGTGTTTTGTCTGTGATTGAAGTTCAAAGCATCTGCATGACCATTAAACATGATTTTTTTGCAATTATGTACAACTTGGAAGGTCAATGTCATGATGAAGTCAGAATTTTGAAATTCACTCTATGGGATGAGATATTCGACGTCAAATTTCTCCGTGAAAACAGTATGGATGGGTTGCCAGTTGTAAGCTCATCACACACAATGTGTCAATCAAATTTATGATTGCTATTAATTACATTGATCTCTATGACAACTTTTTATTTTGATCTTCATAATGGGCATTTAACATGCATGATGTGACAAAATTACCTTTTGAAAACTTACACATGCAGCTGCAAGATACACATGTGCATGTTTTAACCAGTCTCTGGAGTCAGTAGACTGCTGACTATGCATATGGGTGTTTTAAACATTTCTTCACGTTTTGTCAACTATGACAATGGACATGCACATCCCCTCTACGCCTACAGATTTTAAACTGCTTTAGACAGAACATTATCATCATTTTTGTGTTTTTGTATCAAACCAAAATAGAAAAATCTATGCCACAGAGCTCAGTTTCCTTTTCCTAGAAAATACCTAGTTAATATAATTACCAGAAATGAGAAATATTTCATAACTGAGAATTTGGTCAATGGAAAAATGAATATTCAGGATATCTGAAAACTTATTAAAATTATAATGGGTATTTTTTTTTGAAAATATTAAAAGTTTATTAAATATTAAACTAGGGATGTAATATATTACTAGGGATATATTATATCACTAGTCTAATAGTCTAATAGTCAATTTTATAATTTGTTATTAAAAGGATTCCAAAATTTTTAATCTGATATCATTTTAAACTTAATATTTTACAGCATTTTGTTTATAAAAAAAACTGTTTGCAAAGAGTTAAATTAAATTTAATATTTGTACAATTAAATTATTGGAACTAGGGTAAAACTGTGTAATAAATTGTATATTAATTATTAAGTTAGGCGTTTTAATGCAATTTAAACATAAAATAACTTAGAAATTACTTTAATTATTCTTAAGATATTATTAAAAAAATTGTGTTTAAAAGTTTATTTTTCTTTTAAAGATTAGACAAGTAGTTATCAAAACTCTTCCATCAGCTGATATTCAAGATCTTCCAATAATTACAAAGTTTATTTTACAAAGCATTGATGCTCAAGATGCTGCAGATGTAAATATTTTATACTACGAGTTAATTAGTATTATAATAGTTTAAATTCATATTAATATTCACTTAATTTAATATAGACCATATCAGAATTGCGCCATAATCTAGATTTTGCAAGTCTTCAACCAATATTGTCGTCATTTCCAAAATCACGATCAAGGTATATATTCTAAAATCTTGAATTAGAAAATAAATATTTTATTTTAAAAACATATAAATTTTGCAAGTTTGGACTTTGTACTTTTGGATGCAATTCGCTCTTCACTCAGATTTCAGAAGTTTATTAGTGATGCATGGATAAAAGTAAGTTTGTAAATAAAGTATTAGATAGTTATTTTGTTGAAATGATTATTTTAAATTTCTTTAGGTAATTAACAATTTAAATGAAACAGAAAAATATAAGGTAAAATGTATTTTCTACTAAAACCAAATTTTATTATAGTTACTTATTTGATTTGTGTTTTATAAGGTTTTAGATTTTTTAGTGCTTTTGGTATTGCATTCATTAGCAATTCATAGAAAGCCTATTGAAAGTTTAATGAGAAACAAAATTAGAGCTGGTCTTTTTACTGAAGCCTTATTAGATGCATCCTTTGTCTATACTTCTGTGAGTATTTTCTTTTCTTTTTTTTTAATTAAAGTTACAGATTATTTTGTTACATTTACATATATTTTTTCTTATTATTTAGGCTATTAGAGAATATCTTGGATCATTATTAATTCTTGCAGAGACATTTATAAGAAGTAATGATATAACTGTATCTCAGTTTGGATCTTCTTTGTATCAAAAAGCTTTTGTTTCTTTTGATACTTATTGCAAACAGGTAAGATAATATAAATGTCATAAATTTAAAGTGAACTAAATCCTTAGTATTAATTTCTTATAAATTTTCAGGAAGTCGTTGGTAATTTAGTCAGTCATGTTGGTAGTGGAACAGCTAATGAAATTAATGTTTCACTTGACACACTTGTATATTTAGTTAAAGAATATACTGAAGATATGTCATCATTTGGGTGTTTTATAAAAGTATTTATGAAACATTCTTTCTTTCTTTGATTGATAATATCAATTTAAAATTAATTATCTTTCATTTTAATAGAGTATTTTGGATTATCTATGTAATCTCACATTGCAACAAATAAGAAAAGTTTACACAATACTTAGTATATTAGCTTATCAAGGAAATCAAGATGGAATGTTTCTTCAAGTAAGAAGGATTTACATAATAATTTATTGATTACCCATTTCATAAATGTTTATTTTTTTGAATGTAATATGAAATCTGAAATGGCAAATTGTTTATTTAAATAACCTTAATTGAATTAAAATTAAATAATGTTCTACTAAAGAATGCTACATTCTCTTATTTGAAACTTACATGAACAGTAACATCTGTTGTTTATGATATTACTATATTTTAATTAAGAAAAATAATATATTATAAAGGAAATTTTCTAAATAAAAGTTTTAAGTAAAAAAATAGTGAATGCAATTTATTGGTTGCAAAAATTGGATGACTTCAACTACAAGAATTAAATGAATAATAAAATAGAAAATTAAGTTTAAAAAATTCTAAAAAAGAAACATATTTTTAAAAAATTTTAAGGTTTAGATTCATGAATTAAGAGAATATTTGAGTATCACTATATGAGAATGCATAACACAATAACTCAAACTCCTTACCAGTTATGTAAATAAATTAATAAATTTCTCAAATGCAATTTGTGGAAACCTAAATTAAAGATGCTGTTTTTGGATAACAATAGCAACAGCAGAAAAATTGTTAATCTTCAAAAGGAACTTATCACAGAGTAATTAACATGTGTGGTTCTGTGTCACTATTTGAAGCATGAAGATGGCTTGGATCAGTAAAATGTGACATCTGATTTCTGTATATGGGAGATTAGTTTTGATTATACCATATTGATACCCTACACCAGAAGTGGTGAACCTATGGCATGCGTGCCCAAAGTGGCACGTCGAAGAAATCATCTGGCACGTAACGTATTATAGGATATCGGTTTATCACCTTTTTTAATCAGGTTCTTTACATTTACTCTAATTACAGCATATTATTTTATTTATTTAAATATAGTTTTATAAAACTCTTTTTGCTCTGTGGGCACTAAGAGGGCTTTTTTATTTAGCTAACTCCAAATGGAACAGTTAGATCACCACCTGAAAATTTTCTGGGGTTTTGATCTTGGGTCTACAAGAGTGATAAGCTACCATTTTGACCACTCGGCCATTCCGCCAAATTTAAATATAGTTACTAGAAGTCTAAAACTTCTGCATGCATAATCATTTTTAAATAAAAGTATGCTTGATGTGCTTACTATGTGGCATGCAGACTCAAAAAGGTTTGCCATCCCTGTCATAGATCATTTCAGTTCTAGCTAACGGTAATCTGTAATATGTTTGGGATCAACTTTTACTGCATGATAGATATAACTAAAAAATTTGAAATAAAAAGCTTGAGCTTGTCATACATATCATTTTTATGGTAGTTAAAATGTGTTTAACAGATAAAATACAATTGCATAATGCATATGCTGATCTTCATCTATCAAAACTGTAAGTGACATGTTCTATGCTATGTGTAATTATGTTAAGACAATGTATTGGACCTGCAGTAGTTAGATAACCATTGTTTCATGGAATTTATTACTGGACTGTTTACCAAAACCTTTGTTAATAAATTAATGAAATAGAGAATACACATTTTAAAACATAGAATTAATTTCTAAAAGATTGCTAAAAGTCACATTCCAACATGAAAGTAACACCAAAATTATTTTTATTAATTAATACAACCTGAAATACTTTTGTATATAAAGATTATCTGAGAGTTTTTTAATTATTTTTATGAATTTTAATCTTTTCTCATTCTACAATTTATTTTGTTAACATGCTGTCTCAAAGCTTCATCCATAATTTCGTAAATACTCACACAGCCTTTTATTGTTTGATCCATTAATTTATTCTGTAAATCAATATGCAATCGCCCAAAAGATTCTGCCAAAACAATCTCTTCAGTTTTTGGGAGAATGGCTATAATTAATGTAGGTGTTCCAAAACTTTCTTCTTGATAATTGATGTCAACAATAGGTTTATCATTAATGAGTCCTCCTGAGCAGGAGCAAACATAATCTTTCAAAGGAATTCCAGCATCAGCTAGAGCTAATGTACCAGCATTAACACAGGCACTATAGTTACCACCATCAGCTTGAAGAACCTGAATGAATTTAAATTTTAAAAAATTTGAGTTTATTTTTACTNTTCTTTACATTTACTCTAATTACAGCATATTATTTTATTTATTTAAATATAGTTTTATAAAACTCTTTTTGCCCTGTGGGCACTAAGAAGGCTTTTTTATTTAGCAAATTCCAAATGGAACAGTCAGATGGTGAAGAATGGATCACCACCTGAAAATTTTCTGGGGTTTTGATCTTGGGTTCACAAGAGCAATAACCTACCACTTTGACTGCTCGGTCATTCCGCCAAATTTAAATATAGTTACTAGAAGTCTAAAACTTCTACACGCATAATCATTTTTAAAGAAAAGTATGCTTAATATGCTTACTATGTGGCACGCAGACTCAAAAAGGTTTGCCATCCCTGCTCTACATCATGTGACCTCTGTTCCTGATGATGATGGTGCTCAATCAAACATTAAATTCTCAAGGTTTAAAATTATTCAAGTTCTTGATGACTGAAGCTAGCTTGTTAGTCAAAAACATTATCATCATTAATTTATTTTTCTTAGACTGCAAGTAAGCAATCATTTTATTTATGAAAATCATTATATATTGTTTAGCTTTTTAATCATGATAAACTATTTTCATTTAAATGAAATTATATATTAATAAATATATCTTAGCTTTTTATATTGAAGTTTTGAAAAAGTAATTTGTTATCTATTTTCCTCTGAATATTTTTATCCATTGACAAATTAAATTTTGTTGTTACTGCTGATATTTTCTAATTTGTATGATGTTTATGAATTGTTTTTAAAAACAATTTAGTATCTAAAGTTCTACATTATTACAATAATATGTTTCTGGGGACTGTCATATTCATATATATTTCTAATGAATAAAATCCAAATACAATATTGATTATATTTCCAAAATTTTTCAAAACAGCAAATTTAATAAAACTTTTCTTTGACAATCTATGATTTTTAGTTAGTAGAAAAATTGAGTATATTACATGGCTTAGCAGTATAGAAATATGTATACAAAGATTTTCATAAATTTAATTGATACTACTATGACTATCTTCCATTTTATATCTTCATCTTTAACATGAGATTACTTTTTTATGGAATAAGAATTCCATAAAAAATAAGAGCATAATTTATTATAGCAATATCATGATTACTTTCAAAATTCTTAGAATTAGAATTTTTTTCTTTAGTATTTATTGTGTACTATAATCAAGACGTTTTTTACTTTGTTATTCTTTGTTTTCTATGTACATAAAGTTATAACTTATTTCATGTTGGAAAACTTTCATATTTATAAAACTAGTCTGTAGAAACTAATAATCCTATTAAAGTTAAATTTACCTTTTCCTCAAAATTAATAATAATTTTCCTGCAGATCTTTTTAACTCCAACTCAAACTATTTTTGAATTTATTTTTAGTGAGTGAGTATTATTTGGTATCAGTGCCATAACTAGGGTGGTGCCCAGACACAGGGCACAGACCCTGGGGGGTGCTGCCCTGTGCCTGGAATGACCTGGACCAAGTTTTGGGTCATGCATTCCCCAAAAATTGGTCCTTGTGTTTGACAAAAGAAAGACACATTGCTGCCAATCCAAAGAAAAAATAACTATCTAGTGCAGGCACAAGTTGGCTGACTTATAGTTAATAGCACACATACAATATTTTGTATCGTGTATATGGGTGTAGACGCAGCCTACTATACTATATGACATTTGTCAAGTGATCTTGAAACTACAACACTCATAAGTCTCTCAACATTACATGCACAAACAAAAGTATACCTTGAGACAAGAATCTAAATTAATTTGAAGGAGGGTGCCACCTCTAAGCAAATCTGTCAAACTAGCTGAGATTTACATATAATTCAAGTTGTCAGCCACGTTCATTTTGATCATTGTTGTATTGTTAACATCAGGGGCATTCGGAGGTTATTGTCTAGTCGTTATTTTATGGTCTTTATATATTTAAAATTTAATTAAAAGTAAAATCGTGTGTGAGAGTGAATAAGCTTTTTGTTGATGAACTTGTTTGGGTAAGTTGAAAAATTGTATTTATAAGTTGTACTGGAAAGTTTTATTTAATATTAATAAATAATACTATTTTGTAAATGTTATTAGTTATTACTTTAGACGTTATATTTATTTTTAGATGGCATTTTTATGGTGACCATTTCTATGCTCATGTTCGGCACACAAGTGCATAACCTATATACTGGTATACTAGACTAGACCTGATTCGCAATTCTTCTTTCAGAAATAATATGTGTCGGCTACTATAAACCAAGCATGCACATCATAACAAACACCATGTCACAAAAACATCCATCTGGATCTGAATTTCAAAAAAAAAAAAAAGTGCATGAGGGAGATTGAAGCCAAAAAATTGGGAAATTTGTTAAGAAAGTGGACAGTCACACAGGCAGAAAATAGACAGGAAGATGATGTACCTAATGACGTTTTGACATCTCCTGGTATGTCAGGGTCTGGAAACAATTTAAAGAAAAAAATAAAGGCAGCCCAGTCAGCCCAATCCAGCAAGACTTGACCTTGTCCGCCGTTAGTCAAAGTTTTGAAATTCGAATTGTAGAAACAGCTGCAACTAATAAGATCCAATTAGACAAACGATCCTGTTTCATGGTTACCCTTAACTGACCCCATTCGTTGTTTCCTTGTCGAGAAAGGACCTGATCAAGGAAAAGGTAGTAAAATCATTTCTTCAACTGAAGACACAGGACAAAAATTTCATATGCATTGGTTTACAAAAAAGACGAGCAATGGTGAGATGATACCCAGACAATGGTTGATGTACAGTAAAAAAAAGAGATGCAATATTTTGTTTCCCATGTATACTTTTCAGTTCTTCCTTGACTAACCAGATAAGGCCAGCACTTGCTGATGCACAAAAAGGATTTAATGATTGGCATCATTTAAGTCCACATATCCCTGAGCACGAAAACTCTATATTTCATAGAGAA